CAGGGTTTGGGATAGGCCTTGTTTTCCCTAGCACCCCCTGACATAACAAGAAATAACAGCCATAAGTTGTTGGAAAGTAGGTTTAGATTAGACATCCGCAAGAACTACTTCACAGTCAGGGTGGCTAGGATCTGGAACCAACTTCCAAGGGAAGTGGTGCTGGCTCCTACCCTGGGGGTCTTTAAGAGGAGGCTTGATGCCTACCTGGCTGGAATCATTTGAGCCCAGTTTTTTCTCCTGCCCAGGCAGGGGGTCAGACTTGAAGATCTACAAGGTCCCTTCCAACCCTACTTCTATGATTCTATGACTTTATGATTATACTTGTGCTGCTCTTTATTCCTGCTCAAACTAGTTGGAACTACTAGGTGTGTAATTCCAAAAGAATGCTGTTATAACAGTATCTTGCTTGGTTTTTTTAATCTTCCTCTGAATTATAAAATACTTAACTACACAGTTAATGTGGAATGGGAACATGTTATTGGCAATACTATATAATTATATTTTATAATATTAATTTTATATTCCACAATTCTCCATTTTACAGAGCAAAACTTGCAGTTCAGGGATTATCCAACACTTCCATTCCTAGAAACTGTTCACTTGTACAACATGTACCATAAAGTGTAAAGAAACAGCAATGTTTCCAGTAACCTTTGCTTTACTAGTTGGTACTCTTCTATTCTAAACCCAGGTCTAAGTCACAACAAATAAATGCTCTTTCCATTTTCCAACAGATGGGTGCAGGCATAGAGTTGCATAACAGATTCAAAACAGAACTTGTACAACCCTCCACCTAAGAAAACACCTGTGTTGCTCACACCATGAGCCTATATGCCCAAATGGTTTTACAAGTAAAAACCTGCAATGTACAGGGCAGCTCTCACTAGAATTCTACTCATTAGAAGAGATGATACAATCTCACACATTCATACATCAGCAGCACTACTCCTCTTCATCTTCCCAAAGACATACCAAGTTGCCAATATCACATTTAGTGTACGTGCCCAGGGATACTCCTGCTGAATCTTGGATGTAACATTATCATTCCCACAATCTGGACTGTTCAGAGAGAGAAAAAGATATAATTATGCTCAATGTGTCTAAGTCCTTCCTTTACTTTATTCTCATCACGCAGGCTAAGAAGAATAATGGGGCTGAATGTAGTTACTTCCACTCATTTAGTTACTATGGTTTCATGTTTACCAAGGTTTGACCACATCTTCTTGATTTGTATCTGCATTACCTGAGATCCCAGGTTGTCTCCCAACCAAATACTGAGAGGCCCAGAATTGCTTAGCTTCCAAGCTCAGGTGCATGCAGTCCAGCATGGCTACTTTACAGGAATGAAATAATTTAACCTAATTTGTACAGACATCAGCATGGGCAGATCTAGGATTTTGAAAAGGAGGGTGCAGATGATGTGGCACATCATCACATCTAGGACAACACACATTTTCTAGTTAAAGGGAAACTAGAAGCTTTACTAATATGCTCAGTGGCTAGCACTAGGACTATATTATTAATAATCAAAGTAAAAATAAATATACTGGAATTTGCACTAATTTACTAAATTATATATATACACATTTAAACAAACCACAACAAACTAGGTAAAAAAATTGTCAGAAGATATTGTGACATTAGCCATGTAATCATCATAGTTAAATGTACATCTCTTATTCAGATTCATAAAACAAAAATCTAGCCTTCCTGAACATCTTGACAGAGCCTCCAATACTTTACTGTCAGTCATTTCTACACCTGAGTTAATACTACCACACCTGAGTTAAGGTTTTTAGCTAGAGTTAAAAATAGTCTGCAGGTCTGTGATATAGACAAGAGACATTGCCAGGAAAGGCTAACAGACAACAAAATTGCAGAAGAAAGGATAGTTTGAATAGTGGAACACCAAGACCATTTAAAAAGGATAGTGAATCCACTGTAGAGTGAAACGAGATTAGCAGGAATCAGGGGGGTGATAATGAGCCATTAAGCCAATTGACTCTTTCAGCACTTTCTGAACAGAAATACTGATGCCCCTCCCAGGCAGTTGGTTTTAAAGTCTGGGTGAAGCAGGAATCAAAGGGAGTGCGGTGTAACTGGTCAAAACCCAGGTTCTCTGAAGAGAACAATTTCTGTACTCCTAGATAATTCCTTCTCCCCAGATTGTTTAATAGTCACACTTCATCCTTGTTGAGCTCTGTCACAGTACATTAATTCCTCTCTACTCCCCTACCATTAAAATAATTAATTTATTTACTTGTTAATCTTATACACTACCACATAACACATGCTTTCAGTATACATTCACAGGACATTCAATTATACTCGTCATCTATCCCTTTATTTTGCAGGTAGACACAGAGAAGGTCAAGAACTACATAATGGACCTACACACTAATTTGGAAAATACCTATTTGGGATTTGATTAAATACCCTAAGAAAATATTCTGGAACTTAATGGCAAGTGATGTTGCACCAGCTCTGCTTCAGAGATATACACAATATTGCTTCTAGGGAGGATAAGTGGGATACTGACCCTTTCCACAGAATCAGAAGATTCTCCTTGGCTAGTAAATATGGGAATACTTTATTTCACTTTAACCCCAAACAAAGCAGCCGGCCCTTGACAATTTTCTGAGAGAATAAAACAGAATCACAGCCAGAAATCTATTTCAAAGATATCTACACTTCATTACAATAACCACACATACATACAGTTTTCATACACCCAAGGTGAACTACTCTAATTAATTCACTTACAAGCAATTGCAAACATATTCAGATTCCTCTAACATGTCTTTTTTCTTATCATTTATCATCATGATGTCAAGATCAGCAGGGATAGAACAAAACAAACACGGCTTCATCTACTAGGGCAGTAATTTGCAACCAGGCTGCTGTGGCACCCTAGAGTGACTTGAGATCCTTTCAAAGATGTCCAGAGGGTATCAGGCAATGGTAGCACTGTTAGGTGTACAAATGTGATTTCCAAGATTAAACCCAGAGATTTCAAATAGGAATCCATAAAGTTAAAAACATTTTGGCCTGTTGTGGTCTGAGTTCTTTGCAACAGAAGAATTGCTTTATTATTTTTCCACAAAAAATGAGTGATAACTGAGAGCAGGCATTTTCTGGCCAGTGCCTCAAGTTGGAAAAAGTTGAGAACCACAGTACTAGGGTATGGAACAACTTATCTGATATATATGAACTTGTCACAGGGTAAGGTACTGCTTATCCAACGCCCCATGGAAATTACTTGTGCACCCTATCTATACTATGGTAATTAGAAAGTAAGCCATAGTATCTTAGTCCTCAGTACATGAGGGTTAAGTTACACAGGCTAGCTTCTGATTAGCACAGGTAAGGAAGGACATCCACAGGGGCAGCTGCAGCTGAGCAGCAGATGCACAGTAAAGCACCCTGTGATACCTTTGTGTGTCTGTGTGTTTAAGCAGTGTAATGCATACAATGGGAGGCAAAAAAAAGCAGCAGAACAAAATGCTTCCAAACAGAGGTAACTGCATTTGGACTTCCCTTGGAGAAACAAGCAGTCAGAGATCTGGCCATCTGGCATCCCGTGTCATTTAAGTTGTCCCATACCCTAGTGCAGTGGTTCTCAACCTTTTCCAGCTTGAGGCATCTGTCAGAAAACACCAGCTCTTAGTTTTCACTTGACTGTAGAAAAATAGTAAGAGCAATTATACTGTTGAAAAGAGCTCAGAAAAACCACAATAGGCCAGAATGTTTTTAACACTAGGAATTCCTATTTGAAATCCCTGGGTTTATCTTGCGACTCATGTTTATGCACCTGAGCCCAAAAGAAAGGGAGACAAGGCCCCTGCTACACCTTGCTTGTATATTGTGCAATTCCTGTGAATTGGAGAAGCCTCACATTTAGAGAAGCCCCACATGCAGAGCAATAATCACTCAATTAACTGGTAACACCATAAATTTAGACATGCCAGTTATTAGCCATAAAAAGGACTCTTCAGCTATAAAAAGAGCTGAGCAGCTGCAAAGTTAGTGCTTGAAGGTGCCTAACAACTCCAGAGCTGGTTTCTAGCCGCTTGAAGTGAGCGTGTGGCTGGACGTGTGAGGAAAGGATGTGAAGAGGCACAGCCGACCCTAGGGGAGTGCGGGGCCCTCTTAACACCGCATGGGGCTGTGATACCCCCCGAAAAGGGGGGTCTCTGTGCTTCTTCCGTGGCGCAGGGCGGAGCTGCCAGCTCAGCAGCCCCGGAGGGGATGCAGTCGCTCCACCCAGCTCCACGGTCCAGGGCAGTTCCCCCAATTTGCTGTACCCTAGGGAGGGCCCTGCAAAAAGGGCAGGACATCACCCCTAGGTCCTATCCGGGGCAACAAGGTCCTTTGGGTCAATCCGATATCTGAATTCAAATACTTGGAAAATATTCTTCTTGGCAAGCTGGGGGGGTACAAACACCTGAGCGCTTGTACCTGAAAGCTTGCCAGGAAGAATCTTTCCAACTCAAGAGTTGGTCTAATAAAAGATGTGGGCTTTACCCAAAAGACCTTCTCTGCCCGCGTCCTCAGAGCCAACTCCCCTGGACCTGATGAGGCTTGGCTTATTGCACTGCCTGCAGCTGGAACACGAGATGAAGCGCAAGCCGCGTCAGCAGAGGGCAGCAGAGCTGACTGAAAAACCCCTGCCGCCGTCCTAGGGCTCCGCCTCTGCGGGAGCGAGCAGTTCCCCGGCGCGGCCGGGCCCGTGAAACGCGTCCGTCGCCACGCGTGGCCGGCTGGGAACCGGGCAGGTATTGCGGCTCGGCACTGCGGAGGCGACGGTTGCGCCGAGGTGGCTCCGCCCCCTCCCCACCTAGGCCCTCCCGTGCAGCCCCGCCCCGCCTCTCGCAGCTTGTGACGTCACCCCAGGTGCTTTCCCCGAGGGGGCGGGCACTTGCACCGCGCATGCGCGCGGGGACAGCCGAAAGCCCCGTGGGTTCCCGTGTGCGCGCGCGCCAGTGCCGGCGCGGCGGGCACTCGGGCTCTGTGCGTGGCGCGCAGGAGGGGTTATGAGCCTGTCGGGCTTCAGCGGCCACTCTCGCTCCGGCCGCCGCCGCCATCATGTCAGCTGTCATCGAGCAGGAGTTCCAGGAGATCGATGCCGCTAACGACTGGCAGGCGCGCTACCTGGTGAGTGCGCGGGAGAGGGGAGGACGACAGGAACCGCTCACCCGCGGCTCGGTTTCAGGTGCGAGGCTGCGGGAGGTGGCTGGTGCGCATGCTCTGAGGCAGGCACGCGGGTGGGAGAACGGAGACACGGAGGGCGCACTGCTCGGGGCGGAGAGGGGAGCGCGCGTGCTCCCTGGCGAGCACGGGGGTCGGCCAACGATGCGGCTGGAACAGCGCATGCGCCGCGCGGGAGAGGAGGGGGAGGTGGATAGCCGCGCATGCGCCATTGGGGGGAGGTGTGCATCAAGACTGGAGTGCGCAGGCGCGGATCTTCCCTTCCCTTCCCTCCCCTCCCTATTTCTGTTTGGGCTTCCGGGGCGCTGCTGCTGCTGCTTGTGGCTGTGGGTGAGCGCATTGCTCTCCTTCGCCCCGCGTTCTCGGCTGACAGGGGTTTTAACTCATGCCTGTAAAGCCAGGCAGAGGCGAGAAAGTGGCCAGGAGTAGCCCTGTTAAGTCTGTAGCCAGGCAGAAGGCAGGGAATATGTTCACCTTCTAGATGGGGGTAGAGAGGAGAGGCTTTTCTGAACTCCAGCTTGCTTCCTCTGAAGTGAGCCCCAGTTCACAAAAACTTCTCACTGTCTTATTTGGTTAGCCTGTAAGGTACAAATCTACCCTGCCACCTGCCAAACAGCAAAGCTGGGGGCTGCCTAGGATCCCCTCTCTCAGAACTCCCCCCCTTGCTGCTGGCTGAAGACTTGAGCAGCAGTGCAAATGTGGCAGTATTCATTGATTGGGAAAATTTGATGGTGCACTCTGCCTGTGGTTTTGATGTGCCTGGCATTGCAGCACTTCATGCACAAGTACATCATAGAGCAGGGGCAGGCAGTTATTTTGGGTAGAGGGCTGCTTACTGAGTTTTGGCAAGCCATCAAGGGCCGCATGACAGGCAGTCCTGGGCAGATAAATATTAATTTCTAAAATTTTTAGGGGCCCCATGAGCTTGGTAGAATGGCCTGGTGGGCCGGATCCAGTCCCCAGGTCGCATTTTGGCCACCCCTGTCATAGAGTCATAGAAAATGAGGGTTGGAAGGGACTTCGGGAGCGCATCTAGTCCAACCCCCTGCTCAAAGCAGGACCGTTCTCAATTAGATGGCTCCAGCCAGGGTTTTGTGAAGCTGTCCCTTAAAAATCTTCAGGGGTAGAGCTTCTACAACTCTTCTAGGTAACCTGTTCCAGTGCTTCACCACCCTCCTAGTGAGAGAGTTTTTCCTAATATTCAACTTAAACATCCCTTGCTGCAGCTTGACACCATTGCTCTTGGTTATCAAATCCCCCCACGCAGTCTTTTCTTTTATAGACTAAATAAGCCCAGTTCCCTCAGCCTCTCCTCAAAGTCATTTGCCCCAACCCCCTAACCATTTTCATTGCCCTTTGCTGGAGTCTCCAGCTTGTCTACATCCTTTCTATAGTGGGGGACCAAAACTGGACACAGTGCAAAATAGAGGGGAATACTTAATTTCCCTCAATCTGCTAGCAATGGTCTACTAATGCAGCTCCCACAAATTCTATTGTCCCCTTTTCCTGTGGCCTCCCCACCTAAGCATGGGATTGTTCTGTCCTTAGTGCAGGGCTTTGCACTTGTCCTTGTTGAATCTTGTATCAGGGCGTCTGTGCTTTAAACAGTAAAGGATACCGAGAATGGATGGATCCTTTGTGTTTGTTGCAGGATTTCTTGCAGGTGGTGATTGCATTTGGAGGCTTGCATCTTAATTCAAGATGTTGTATACTAGCTTCCTGGAAGATCCTGTGTTGCTTATTTGAATCAAAGCAACTTAATTACATGCAAGAAATAACCAGCTTCCTATTTTTATGGAAATAGCAGCAGTTAGTAATAAGGATGGTAATTTGCATTCTGAGATTTTTTTTAATTAGGGTGTTCACAGCATGTCTTGATAAATGCTGATGAGCTAACTTCTACTGTACCTTGAGCTGTCTTAAGTATTATTTTATAAATCATGGAAACAAATGAGGAATTGACTTGTTTAAGAACCCCTGGCAAAATTAGGACTTCCTAGTTCATTCTTTCTTATCTGCTGCTTTCCCTCTTAAATTACATTTGCAGTTTGGTCTACTTTTGAACTTATTTTTATATTAATATATGAATAAGACATAGGATTTTAAACAGTGGTATAATATGACAGTAGAAGACCAATAATATCTATGACTATAAGGTAAGCCTATGTACCGGTAGTAATGATGTAATCAATATGGGTCACTATTGCTGTTAAAATATATATAGAAAGCACAACTTATGTCCAGATTGCCTCTATAAATCAAGTTACTTTTCACAAATCCTCTCAGTTTTATTAAAATGAATGTGGATTAAAAATGTAAACATTAAGAGCTCTGCAAACCTTATAGTTTTAAAACTATATATTTTTCTAGTCTGATTTCAGATAGATTATGTAGTTTTAATAGATGTAGATCTTTGTTCGACTTTGCTCACACATAGAAGTTGAATACTTAGGAAGTATTTTCAGTAAGCTTCCACAAATTTCAGTCCTACACTCCAAAACTAAAATTTTTAATTTTTCTGGATTTGTTTTAACACTAGAGAAATGCAAAGTAATTGTATCTGTGAAATTCAATCAAATTTATGGTGTAACTATAATATTGTGAGCTCATATGATATTATACTCGATGCTTAGGTTGCATGTTCACTGAAATCGTATTAACCTCTAGATACTTTACTATGAAAACGATATAAATAAGAAGTAGGTACTCCATAGAAATAATTTGATTACACTCAACAAATTCTGAAGAAAAAAAGCAAATTGAAAACCAGGGGATTACATCCCCTATCTACTGAGTCCTCCATCTCCATGAATTTGTTAGAGATAAAATTGTATTAGATCACAGAGCATCTGGAAATAGCTCAGGGATTCCTGTAGAGAATTGTCTCCCTCATGCTGCTCACTTGAACCCTCTTTTTTTCAGTACAGAACTGTGATTAGGGTATATTCCCCCAACAGATTGACTTCCTAGGTGAATATGCTGTGTATCACATCTGTCATCTGGTCATTTCCTACCTAGTTCATACATGAGTAACTCTGTGATAATACTTGGAGAGTGGGGGTCAACCTTTTTGGCATATGTATCACAAATTAGCCTTGCACCCTCCCTGAATGCCACTGCCCAATCCAATCTACTACTTTGCTTTCTGCTCCATACTCTGTGCCTTCAGCCCAACTTCCTACTAAGCCTTTTGCTTTATGCTTTAGCTGTTGCTGTGCTACCTGTCCCCCTCACTGATCAGTCGCATGCCACACAGAGGCTGTATGTGCCACTTGTAGCACTCGTGCGCCAGGTTGGCTGCCCCCAGCTGGCATAAGAAATTGATGCCACTTACGCTCAAGTGCCTTCCTTCAAGAGAGATTTGGGCCACTGTAGAAAAGTTGTCAGCTAGTTTGATCTCTGGGAAAAATGGGAGACTTATGTAAACATGCATATTGAGACGTTTTCAAAATAATTATAATTGAGAAGTTGGGAGTTTCTTTTTTAATGTTTTTATATGGTGGGGAAAAAGTTGGGAGTTTCTTTTTTAATGTTTTTATATGGTGGGGAAAATAATTTCTTCCATACTTTCTATTAAGGGGTTTAATGTTGCTGTCTCACTTAGTATGTTGAGCTGGTTCAAAATGCACTTGTATGCTGCATATTTGTGTTTAACCTTGTAAGAAAGCAGACAATGATGTTAAAAAAGACAGCATGCAGTACCACACACCTTTATGAAAAGTAGCAAAATTCTGTGTTGGGGGGAATTCTAAAGGGGTTGCCTGTCAGCTGTTTCCCCTGTTTAGTGCAGTGCTTTTGTTGCTTTTTATAGCAAAACAAATGTCTAATTTTATTTCTTGTGTAAAGTGCCACTGCAGATAAAGTGATATAATATTTGCAAAACAATCCCAGTTCTATGGAACTATAAACTTCATTGAAGTACTCATTCAAGTCCTGTCTTCAGTAAGAGCAAAAAAAAAATTTTGTAGAAAGATTTTTTTTTTGCAGGTTTGGGTTTTTTGTTTGTTTGTTTGTTTGTTTTTTGTAAGGTGGTAGGGAATGTAGATTGCAGGAGACCAAAGAAGGCAAGACCCAGAATTAGGGGTGCACTGATAAAGATTTTCTTGGCCTGCACACACATCTGGATGGGAGGTTATGCCCCTCCTGCTTCTCCCTGGGGTAAGCGCAGCAGTGAATAACTGCCCCACCTCTGCACTCCCTGGATGAGCCTCCCGCAGCTCTGTCTCACTCCCAGCAGAGTTTAAATTCGCTGATGATACCAAAATTTGGGGTGAGGTGAGCACGCTAGTAGGGAGGGAAAGATTGCCACAAGACCTGGATAGGTT